ACGAATGCCGAACTGTGAGGGATGATCTCTTGGCCGTCCATGGTTTCCCCAAAGAATTTATCAAGTACCGCAAGCAAAGATCACTCAATCATGATAATGACATTGGAGATGAAGATGATGATGTTAGTGGTACTGAGTCTTGTAAACGGAGTGTACTGGACGGTCTAATAAGCACCATTTTGTCGCAGAACACCACTGAAGCTAACTCTCAGAGGGCTTTTGCTTCCCTCAAATCCTCTTTTCCAACCTGGGAATCTGTAAGCTTTTTTCAAATTAAGTTACTCCATTAATTCAATTTCTTCGTACATGCTTGCTTTATGATGGCTAAGGGTTTGATTAACCAAAGACGGTATTTTTATTTTAAGTTTAATAGGGTAACTCTTAAACCCCTTCTGAGGTGCTTTTCCTCTATTTTAGGATTTTACGTTACTTACATTTTATGTTGGCTCATAGCATTTTACCTGATCTGACATTGCTAGTGTAGATACTGGCCGATTCATTATGTTTTTATATGGTGCTTTATTTTAGTACTAGCTTTTTTTGTACTATCGCTCTCTATATTGCTTAAACCAAGAATGATCATGTATTTCCTTGACTACTCTATAATCGATTTATTGTGCATTGATGAAATGGATAAACTTTGGCACTTCGGACCAACTTATTTATTGAATTTTATCTTCAAATGCTTAGGTTCTAGCTGCTGATGCAAAGCTTGTTGAAGATGCCATAAGATGTGGAGGTTTAGCGCCCACCAAAACTTCTTGTATCAAGGGAATATTGAGTTCATTGTTTCAGAAAAAAGGAAATCTGTGCTTGGAGTACTTGAGAGAACTATCCATAGAGGAAATAAAAAGGGAACTCTCTTGTTTCAGAGGGATTGGCCCCAAAACGGTAACTTGTGCTCAGTTTTGTTTTAAATATTGCTTGGGGAATCGTGGACCGTGTTTAAGGCTAATATGAGTTGAGCTTGGAGTTTGGATATTAATATGCCTATTTAAGTGTTATTTTTTGGTATACTTGTCTCTTAGAGATCTGGCAAGTTCCTATTGCATATTAATTGAACAACCATGCATGGATTCATAACATTTTCATATTTCTTCTCTTCATGTTGATAACTAGACAGCGGCACCTTTGTAAATAGAAAATAAGGACGTTGTTCCTCTTTGTTATTAGCCCTCATCAGAACTGTAGAAACTTACTACTAGATTCTGTTGTATTACAAGAAAATATGGAAACTTAATTATTTTTAATCAATAAAAATGCCTTTACAGTGTATTCCTACACTATTTAAGATACCCTACTTCTGCTCTGTTCTCTTCATGGTACCTCAGAAAATGCAATTGCTTCCAAGCTTTCTGATGCCAATGCTTTGTCCACCCTCTACTGCATGTCTGGGTTGATCACCATGCTTCAAAGTATAGACTTTCTTTTTTCAGCGTGAGGGTGGTGTTGGACTATTTTTTGGTGCCTCCAAGGAAAAAGAAAATTTCTCCTTGTCTCTGCTCATAAGAGTAAATAAGTGGTAGAGAATTCTCGATCACACTTCTTTTTCTTGCTATATTTGTTTACAATCTTGTCCCATCCTACCATGAGGGACGGGAGTGACATGGGCAGAGTGGGGTGGAAGTCCTATAGACTATCATAACTTTGGTGAACCTCCACTTTCTTTCAATCCCTTAAACCTTTCGAGCCAAGTTCGAGCATCAAATGGTGAATTTTACAGGATTTCTTTCAGTTTGACATGAGAAATATGCTCTAAACAACTATCTCCCCCTGCTCTTGGAATTTGAAGTTAGAACCCCCCTTAGGCCTTAGCAAGCCTTTTCATTGTTAGTAATATCTGATGGAGTATTTGTTCAAAAAAAGAAAATATATCTGGAGTACTTATAAAAGGAAAATGAACAATTAATATCTAGTGGAGTCTCCATTAGGTCATAGAGCTTCCTAGTGCTTAGAATAAGTGTAGTGCCAGTATGAGTAGTACCAAACCAGACATGACTTGACTTTTGTGTCTGAAGCGAAAACTTGAAATTTCAAAATTTTGGGGGACTTGCAAGAATTGAGCATGTTATGGATCTCAATTAAATTGTTTTTATGCTTAAATTAGAAACAAAAAAGGAAAAAGAAAAGATAACATTGTAAGAAAGAGAATAAGATTCTTACTCTGTGACAGGAAAATGCAAAATTACATTGCAAGAATTTGCTAGATATTAAGAAAGAATCTATATAGAGCTACATATTATACTAGTTCTAAGAGTCCAACTCTTTTTGATATTGTATCAAAATGTACCATTCATTATCGAACATAGTCTATTTTTTTGGGGCTAAAGTATGTTGCAAAGAGCAGCATATTAAGCACGATTGAGGGAGCAAAGAAGTGATGAAAAGAAGAATACTTCCGAATGATAGGTGGAATTGTCGAGGTACCCGCAAGCAGGCCCGTACACCTCCTTGTTAAAAGAGACAGAAGCAGAATACTTGACCAAATGACCTGGAACTAGTAGAGCCAAGGAAGATCACGGGTAAAGAAGAAGAGCGAGAGGGAGAGGGAACAGAAGAAGAGAACCTGAAGCAGATGAGAGCATTGGCAAAACTTAGTGTTGATTTGGTTTCCAAGTCTAGTCACACGTCCCCAGTGCATGGAAGATATGTTTGTCTGAAATGGAGGACATATGTGCTGTTACCTTTTAAAAATTATTAGCAGGTATCCGTGTCCCAAAAACTTATAAGACGGCAGATTAGAAAATGCTTCAGACAAGTGGCAAAGGTTTGCCCAGAGCGTCCATGTCCTAAAAATGTCTGACTCCCATGCGCGACTTTAAAAATGTTGGTCGTGCTTACCATTGATGGGGAAAAAATGAAGTTATCTGAAAGATGGCATGAAAAAAAAAGGCGTATGCTAATGGTGGTGTTTGCAAACTGAAAGATCTTATCACCGGCAACCTTTCTAATTGGTCTTTTACCAGCTGCTGTGATTCTAACAATATGCAATGGATGCAGGTGGCATGTGTCTTGATGTTCCATCTTCAGCAAGATGATTTTCCAGTGGACACACATGTGAGTTTCACTTTAAAGGACTTATTTGCCTGTTCAAAGTATTCGCCTAACATTCAAAACTTACTACAGATTTTTCAGATTGCAAAGACTCTTCGTTGGGTACCCGCTGCAGCTGATGTAAAAAAGACATATCTTCATCTGAATCGGCGAATTCCAGATGAACTAAAGTTTGACCTTAATTGTCTCATTTATACCCATGGTAAGGTCTGTAGGGAATGCTCGGGAAAAGGTTCTGACAAACCCAAAAAGGAACACTGTGACAAACTTTGCCCATTACTGCGCCAAAGTTCTAATGCAATATGAAACCAAATTATGAACTCTATGCATCTATTCATGTACATGAGGTTTTTGTTTTTTTTTCTTTGTTCTCTTTTATGACCTCTGAACTCTATGCATCTATTCGCGTACATGATGTTTTTGCATTCTTTTTTGTACATGATCTCTTCACATTTGGTGCTGCATTTGGGTCCTGTGCACAAAGATTAAATAGGAAATCAATTACTTCATGTCTTTGGACCACTTCTTAGAGAAAACAGGTCACATCTCTCTATTTTCACTAGCGATTTGTAATGCATCTACGCCTGGTATATGCTTAATTATATCCTCTGGTCATTCTGCTTTTGTTGTGCTTTTCACCCCCCCCCCCCCCAAACA